GTTAGTGGACTAGCCACTTACATCCTCTAAACTATTTTATTAGAGCTTACACTCCCTAAATTCAGGGGAAATATTATTTGTATATTAGTAAGACAATTCACTTCTCTTTTTTTATGTTTAAATGTCAGATGTCACTTGAAAATGGCTACTTGTAGTGATTTCTGGTTTGTGGCTTATCCAGTTGTCAAGAATATCTTCTCGGGCTTCAGTGTATAGATAACATGCTTCAAGTCCCAAAAGTAGTTATATTCAGCCATGATGACAGTTTCTTGATTACCTAAACAATCAGCTTCGATGTACAACTAGAAATAAAGGGTGGAAGCTCATGCTCAAGCATGGGATCCATGCATTATGTTTATGTACAAGCTTATGTTTGGTCCTTCAACCTGTGGATAGTGAAAGGCGAAGTAAATGAGAACAAGAAACAGTAAATTAGAGCTTTAAGGAGTTTCTGTCTTAGAATGTTGTTAAATGGAGCCTGAAAGAAAGATCGTGCATGTAAAACCATATAGTCTCAACTGTTGTATGCATTTTGATTTTGTGCACAATCCCTGATTAGTTTGTTGATTTGTTCTGCTGCATGTACAGGTTTTGTATTATTCTGTTGCAATTCAGCTTCTTTTCGCTTGACAAGTTCATTGTGATTCAATTTTAATTTCAGAGTAGGAAGAATCTTCAATTTACATTTCTCAATAATGGTATTCTGAAAAAAGCCTTCAATGACTCCTTTAGGCAATCTGGTACTTGAAAGCTGCAGAAGGTGGATATGTGCGTGCTATGTACAATGCCTCCTTGTGTTATTCTGATGTTGAAGGTGGGTTGAATCGAGATCTTCGACGTGCAAGGATGTGGATGAAACGCGCTGCAGATCATGGTCACTCAAAAGCCCAGCTTGAGCATGGTCTTGACCTATACTACGTAGGTATCTATGTGCAATAGATGCTAAGCATCGACTGGTTTCTTAATATCTGATAAATTTCGTATTTATGTAAGTTTGATGATTTTCTTGAAATCTGCTAAATCAGCCTGCATCTAGTCCATCATTTTTGTTCCTCAGTATCTATGTGATCATTTAAAAAACTTTTGATTTGCCTTAAAAGTAAAATTGTTAGCCATCTGAAAGCAAAAATGGAAAACAACAAGGGGGGAAAGGATCATTTTATGGGCTTTTTAAGAGGCACTTCATTTTTCAGGAGATATTGACTCTTAACTATTACTTGTTCATGGTGTTTTCCTGCTTCTATATGTAGCTACTTTTTCTTTGTTCTTTTATGTTTCATTATTATTTCGTGACAGTGGAGGAGGATAATACACCATTTTTTTCCACGAAAAGGAAGAGGTAAAAACAACTAGAAAAATATGTGCATCGAAATTTCGAAAAGCTAGTAGTTCTCTCACAATTTACCTGATAATGCATGGATCATTAGACAAATGATGAACAAACTTTTATCGTTCCCGTTGTTCTTTAATATGTTTGAATGTTTCCTTAACGTATGATAATTTATGGTGGCACTTTGATATATGTATGTATTCCTTTGTCGTTGTGTACTGATGCGTTTTCATTTTGTTTCTTTTTTTTTCTTTCTTCCAACTTGTATTAGGCAGGGGATTTGATAAAGGCTCTATTGTATCTTGAACTGGCTACTAGAGCTGGAGAGAATGCAGCTGTTAATGCCAGGGATTCGATACTGCAGGGCCTCCCCCAAACTTCACGAGACCTTGCATTGTTATCTGTTGACAAGTGGAAGCCTATAAACTCTGTTAAATGAACTGAAAGCTGGATGTTCTCCTGTTCAATTCGCCAAAATAGATTACCAGTCTGAAAATTAGGGAAATGCATTGTCGTAATTGCTTGCCTGTGTTTATTTCTGCTGCAAGAGGTCAAAGAACCAGTGAGTGGTTTTGTGTATCCGGCGGGCAGAGGGAAAATTGTAGTAAGTGTGGAGTTTAACTTATACGGTAAACACATGGATTCTAGTTGGAGTGAAAGCATTATGCTTAATGTTCTCTTTACATTCCGACGTTGTTGAACTTCTAGAGTTTGAAGCTTATTATGTTTGTGGAGTGAGCTCAGCATCCATCCAAGGGTCTTATCTCGTGCCGTTTTGCTGTTAATTCTTGCTACTTCATGGTTCCGAAATTACCTCTTGTACGTACTATTTCCCTTGGAATTGCAAAAAGTGCATAAAAACTAAAGAGAGAATAAAGTACAATTCTAATACGTCCTTCTTCTATGAAGATTTAATACATGTAAAGGCCATATGCAGCTCCACGTTAGCTCGTCCTTGTTAACGTACGGCTAAGCAATGTTCACTGGTTTTCTGCTGTGTTTTTTATCGTCTCTCAGCTAGTTTTCTCCTTCCAATGGATCCATCAAGTTCTACTGTCCATAATGAAGCCAAATCACGGGCCAAAGCCATTAGTTCAATCGCTTAAAGGATAATGGTCTTCACCTTTCCTTTGTCCCCTAGCAATACTCTGATGCAGCATGCGCTCAATTTGAAGCATCATAGTGGAATTTGGGTCTGGATGAATGGAACTCAGCTCTCGTTGGCTACATTTTTGAATTCAAAGCTAACTACCATGTAATTCTTGGCTATCTTGAGAAGTATTAGATTCATATGGGCAAAATTGAGGTTCTAAGCAATCATGTTTGGGGTAGTTGCAGTATCCCTAAACATGCTTTGTCTTCTAGATTACTTGTTTAAGCAAGCTCCCACTAGATCAGAATTGAAGTCCTTTATTATTATTATTATATTGATGATGACATATATATGTTCAATCTGTGGGTAACATGTTGAAACAAAAGATCATCTGATGTTTGAGCGTGATTTCTACCTCAAAGTTTGGAAGAAAACCATGGAGTTCGTTCAGATGCAAAATATGCCAAGGGGTTGGGCTAGGGTTTATTGATTGGATGCAGCACAAAATAACGGGAAGCCATATTATTTCTAAGTTCAAGAAAGCTTCAGTGGCTACCTGAATTTATCATCTTTGGATCATGAGAAATACCCTTATTTTCCAGTGTAAACAAATCACTGTGGAGGATTGCATACAGATCGACTACTAAGTTTGATATCAAAATTATAAGTAGCAACATATCAAGGCTCATAGATACTGGAGTTTGTTAGGGTTTTTTTTAGATCAAACCCCCTGATATGCGATTTGGAAATAGAGATGAGAGAGAAAGAAAACAATCACAAACACACAAGATTTTATGTGGTTCACTTCTCAATGTGAGAAGCTACGTCCCCGGCCGTCGCAGGAGAAAATTTCACTATTTTCGTCTCAATTACAAGTTGCCCTAATCACCCCTTTAATAACTTAGGAGTTAAAACAAAACAGAATTCAAACAGGTCAAAAACCCGACATAAGCCAAAACCCGACATGCGGTCGACCACGACGAACGACAGAGAGCAGAAAATGATTACAGGGTATCGCGGTCGATCGTCGCGGTCGACCGCCAAAAGTCCAGAGACCAAACCAGATTCCTGGGCTTGGCGCGGTCGACTGCAAAAAATCCAGAAGCCACCCTGAGTCTTGTGCACGTTTGTGGTCGACCGCGCGCCACCCGCGGTCGACCGTGAATCTACCAAACTGAATCCTCGTCGTTTTTTCTTGAACATCTTCGCCATTGACCCCGTTCCTCCAACTTCTTCTGTTTCCTCTTCAATCTGAAGTATAGGGCAGGTCTGATAGTTAGGCTTCACACTTCTTCTGTTTCCTCTTCAATCTGAAGTATAGGGCAGGTCTGATAGTTAGGCTTCACATATCCTAACAATCTCCCACTTGGAGACTAACTAGTTAGGCTTCACATATCCTAACAATCTCCCACTTGGAGACTAACTATCAATCTCTATCACCTCTCTCTACGGCGACAGCCTCCATATCATCAAGTAATGAGGCCAACTGAAGTTGAACACAACTTCAATTTCTCTGTATTAACAACCTTCGTAAGCATATCAGCCGGGTTCTTGCTTCCTTGAATCTTCACAAGTTCCAACATTTCATCATCCAATGCTGACCTTATGAAGTGATAACAGACCTGTATATGTTTTGTCCTGGCATGAAAAGCTGGGTTCTTTGCCAAATGAATGACGCTCTGGCTATCACATTGTAAAACATTCTTCTCACTTTTCTACCCCAACTCCTCCAGGAATCCTTGCAACCATATTAGCTCTTTGCTAGCCTCTGTCACAACAACATATTCAGCTTCTGTAGTCGATAAAGCAATAATCTTCTGTAACTGGGAAACCCAACTGATAGCTGTAGTACCCAAAGTAAACACGTACATGTAGTGTTCCTCCTCTGATCTATCTCACCAGCATAATCTGCATCAACAAATCCCTGTAGAACTAACTTGCCTCTCTTGAAGCATAAACAATTTTTTTTAGTACCCCGCAGGTACCTAAGAATCCACTTTACTGATTCTCAGTGCTGCTCTCCTAGATCTGACATGAATCTGCTCATAGCTCTCACTGTATGGATAATGTCAGGTCTCGTGCACACCATGGCGTATATAAGGCTTCCAATGGCTGACGAATATGGAACCTTCATCATATAATTTTTCTCCTCATTAGTCACTAGACACTGCTCCTTAGTTAACCTGAAATGACTAGCTAAAGGTGTGCTGACGACCTTAGCATCACTCATTCCAAACCTCTCAAGCACCCATCTAATTAATCGGCCTGGGATAACTACAATGTGCCCAAGAGCTTGTCCCTGCTAATCTTCATTCCCAATATCTGATTCGCTGCGCCTAAGTCCTTCATGTTAAACTCACTCGACAACTGCTTTTTTAGCTTCTTGATCTCACCCATATCCGAGCCGGCAACTAGCATGTCGTCGACATACAATAGCAAGATAATATAACTGGTGTCAAACTTCTTGAAAAAACAACAATGATCAGCATTACACCTGGAGTATCTGTTCCTATGCATGAACCCATCGAACTTTTCGTACCACTGCCTTGGAGCTTGTTTCAGACCATACAAGCTCCTTTTCAATTTGCACACCATCTTCTCTTTGCCTTTCTGAGTGAACCCCTCTGCCTGCTGCATGTATATCTCTTCCTCTATGTCACCGTAGAGGAAAGTTGTCTTTATATCTAACTGATCGAGGTGTAGGTCTTCAGCTGCAACAATACTCAGAACCGATCTGATGGTAGTCAATTTGACTACAGGAGAGAAGATTTCCGTGTAGTCAACTCCTTCTTTCTGTTGAAACCCTTTGACCACTAATCTAGCCTTGTATCTCTTGGAACCATCATGTTCCTCATTGATTCTGTACACACATTTGTTACTCAATCCTTTCGTTCCTGCTGGCAACTTTACAAGTTCCCAAGTCTTGTTAGTGTTCAAGAACTTTATTTCATCTTTCATAGAAAGCTCCCACTTTCTCGCATCATCCACTCGATATGCTTCAACATAACTTTCTGGCTCTCCACCATCACTTAATAATAGGTAATTTAAATAAGCTCTGGGCTGTAGTGATGCATACTTCGGATTTGGCTTGGGAACTCTTGCTGATCGCCTCAACTTTCTAGCAGGCGAATCAGGCTCTGCATCTACATTTGTCCTTTCTGAAGTAATGTCCTCTATCATCTCTTCTTCAGCCTCTTCTGTAGCTTCCTCATCAGAACTGGCCTCGAGGTTGCTTCCATCTGAAATATCATCTGACTCGAAGTATGTAGGCTTAGGTTGTACCAAACTAGTGGACCGAACAACATCACGATCCTTGTAGAGGACTGCTTCATTAAAGACAACATCCCTGCTCCTGATGATTTTTTTGTTCTGCTCATCCCAAAACTTGTAGCCAAACTCATCACCACCATAGCCAATGTAATAACATTTTAGTGACTTAGAATCAAGTTTGTTTCTAACATGATCAATCAAATGAACATAAAAACACAGCCAAAAACTTTTAGGTGAGAAAGATTTACCTTCTTTCCACTCCATACTTCTTCAGGTATTTTGTGCTCCAAAGGCACTGATGGTCCCCGGTTGATCAGATATGTAACTGTATTAATTACTTCTGCCCAGAATTGCTTTGGGAGTCCTGCTTGAAGTCGCATACTTCTAGCTCTTTCAGTCAATGTTTTGTTCATTCGTTCTGCTATGCCATTCTGCTGGGGTGTACCTGGCGCTGTTCTCTCCAATCTGATGTCACTATCATAGCAAAACATCTTGAACTCTGAATCTTCATATTCACCTCCATTATCTGATCAAAGCTTCTTGACCTTCAACCATGTTTTGTTTTCTACCATAGCCTTCTATCTCTTTAAGACTTCAAACACTTCTGATTTGTATTTCATGAAATAGACCCAAGTCTTCCTTGAGTGATCATCTATGAAGGTTACAAAGTATAACCTTCCACCAATGGATTGTACTGATGCTGGCCCCCACACATCTGTGTGAAATAGCTCAAGCTTCCTTTCCTTAGGTGTCCTACCAATTCTTTTAAAGCTTATTCTTTTTTGTTTCCCGAATATGCAACTTTCACATAAGTCAAAATCAGTTGACCTCAAACCTGGTAAATTTCCATTCGACTGCATAACTTTTAGGCCTTTGCTGCTCATGTGACCAAGCCTCTGGTGCCATAAATTTGGGTCTTCTTTGCTTTCAACCACTGTAATAGATCCACGCGCATCTGTTGTCATGTAGAGAGATCCACTCTTCGTACCACGGGCAACAATCATCGACCCTTTGGTAACCTTCCATGTATCGCATGCAAAGGTTGTTATATATCCCTCTTTAGCCAACTGTCCTATGAAGATTAGATTCTTCCTCAGGCTAGGAACATATCTCACATCATTCAGCATTCATATAGATCCGTTGAGTTCAATCTGCACTGCTCCTTTTCCAACCATATCACACGGTTGATCGTCGCCAAAAAGTTTCCTGAGATGTAGTTCTCAAATAGATCTCTATTTGAGGTAGCATGAAACGAAGCTCCTGATTCGAGCACCCATGATTCTGTCTTGCTCTCCGATGAAAAAATAAGGGCATTTATCTGA